AGATATGCCTCTTTCCATGAATTGGAACATCTTCAATTAGTTTCTTGAATTGTGGACTTAAAATTTCTTCAAATGTAATATTCCACTGGAAGTCCATCTGGGCCAGGGGATTTACTGCTTTTTTGTTTCTTCCATGCTTCTCCGATCTCTTCTATTGTAATTGGTTTATTCAGTTTCTCCAATTGTTTATAATTCAGCCTCTATTCTGGAATATTATTCAAATAATGTTTTTGTCTCTCTTGTTCTCCTTCTCTTTTCCTATAGAGTTTGGTGAAAAATTCTGAATTTCTTTTTCAATCTCCTTTTGTTTGTATACTTCCTTTCCTTGCTTGTCAAGTATTGCTGTGATCATTGTTTTCTCTCTCTCCCTTTTTATCCTGTAAGCTAACCACCTTCTCGGTTTGTTTGCATTCCTAAAGAATTTTTGCCTTGCAAATTTCATTTTCTTCTCCATCTCTTTCTGTTCTAGTAAATTAATTTTATGCTGTAACATATTTATTTTATTAAGTAATCCCTTCTTTGTTGGTGCCTTCTTCAGCTCCGCTTCCTCTTTTTTTAGAGATGTTATTAGGGTTTGATGTTGTTTATTCATTTCCTTTTTTCTTTGTATATTCTATTCTATTGTATATCCTCGAAAATATGCTTTGGCTGCATCCCGTACCACTGTCGTCCCTGTATCTTGAGGTTTGTTGATTTGAAAATAAGATTTCATCTCATCTTTAATTTTATTCAGGAAAGTCTCTTCTCTCATTAATTGCATGTTAAGTCTCCACAAGCCACTCCTTGTCCTCTGTCCTAATGTCATCAATATTGGATTATGATCTGCATATGTATTTGGTAATATTTCAATGTCCTCTATTTGATGTGTAGCTTCCGCTGATATCCAACTATTATCTATTCTTGACCATGATTTATGTCTATTTGAGTAAAATGTATAGTCTCTTCTGTTTGTATTTCTGAGTCTCCATAGGTCAATTAGATTTAATTCTTCTGCCATTTCTAGGAACACCTTAGGTATCATATTCCTCATCTTTTTCCTCCCATTTTCAGTTGCCTTGGATGTGTCCTTCTCTTTATCAATTATTGCGTTGAAGTCTCCCATAATGCACATTTTTTGTTCTGACCTTTGTATTAATTGATTCTTCAGTTGGAAATAAAATTTACCTCGGGCTTCATTTGGTGCGTATCTATTAGCCAATAAGATTTTTTCTCCTTCCTTAGAGATTTCCACTATCAGTAATCTCCCATCCCCAGCGGCAAACACCAATTCCGGATCTAGCTCTTTTTTTATATACAAAGCTACTCCTTTTTTCTTTTGTTTACTTGAGGCTATAAATATTTTACCCAATTTTGGATTTTCTAACAGTTTTCTATCCTTTTCTCTAATATAAGTCTCCTGGATAAATATAATATCTACCTTAGTTTTGAGGAGTTTGCTGAATATTTTTCTTCTTTTGGGGGGTGAGTTAAGTCCTTTCACATTCACTGAGAGAAGATTGACTTGTTTAAACATCTTGATGATTTTTACTACCTTTTTAATCTCTGTTGCTTTCCCTTGGTTCTCCTTCCTGGATATAACTTCCTTTATCTTCCATCTCCTCTTGCTTCTTGTTTCTGCTCCTCTTCTTCTTCCTCCTCTGATTCTTCACTCGAGAATTGTAAATCTTCTTCTGATAGTTTCAATTCCTGTTTCATTTCCCTCATGACGTTTCTGGCTTTCATTTTGCTATTAAGATTGTATCTCCTGGATTGGTAATTGAGAAGTAGCCCTTCTGGGATTCGCCACTGGAATGGTATTTTCCTGTCTAGTAATAGGAAGGAATATTCTTGTCTTTTTCTTTTGCATGCTCCAAGGCACCTGTTTCAGTATATTAATTTTGGCTCCTCTTATTGTGAGCTCTTTTTCACTGTTTAAGCAGCTTTTCTTTCACTGTTCTTCTTAAGAATTTTATATGTACAGTGGTGCCTCGCTTAACGAGCGCACCGTATAACGACGAATCCGCATAGCGATCCCGTTTTCGGGATCGCTAATGCGGAGGCATAGCGTCGGCCCCAATGGGCAAAACTTGCATAGCGAAGATCAGTAAGCGTTTCGCTTACCGATCTTCGCTTTGCGACGCCTGCAGATCAGCTGTTCGGCAGTTTCAAAATGGCTGCCGGACACCCAAAATGGCCGCACGCACTGTTTTCGCGCCCTCCCCTCGCTTACCGAGGGCGCGAAAATGGCTGCCGGCCCCTGGAAACTTCGCTAAACGGTGAGTTTTGTGCCTATTTGGAATGCATTAAACAATATTTAATGCGTTCCAATGGGCTTCCCCGTTCCGTTTAGCAAAGTTTTCACATAGCGAAGGTTACTCTGTTCCGGATTAACCTCGCTATGCGGGGCACCACTGTATCTCTCTTGGTAGGTTATTACACCTGGTGGTGTTGCCAACTCAAAAAAATCTTTCCACAGATTGAGTAAATTCCTGCCTATCCCTGTTTGTTTGGTCAGTTCTTCAGATATTAATGTCAACAAGTCCTCTTCTACCTCTCCCTCGAATTGGCCCACGTTGTGAATTCGCAGAAAATAATAAGTTTTTTCCATCTCTACGGTTAGATGTGCTTGCATCTCATATCTTTTAACTTTCATCTCTTGTATGTCTTGTTCCACTTTTGTCAATCTGTACTGCATCTTTTCTATCTTCTCACAGAAAGCATCTATCTTCTTATTAGTGCTTTCTGAGTTTGCTTTGACTTCTGATCTAAATTCTTGCATTTGCTCCAATAATTGCTTGACAATATTTGTTTGCATTTCCTGCATTGCATTTTTAAAGGGGTCTTGACTAATTAATTTGAGTAGATTCATGGTTTGGCTGGGAGAGTCCCCTTTTTTGGATGCTCTCGTATTCATCTTTATGCTTTCAACTACTTCCGTACCTATCAGCTTGCTGCTTTTCTCCCCCCAAAATATTCTCAGTTTATAATTCCCCTTTTATCACCAAGAAAACCCTCAATCAATTCTTAAACAGATATAAAATTGCTCAACAGGTTGACAAAACCAGATTTGGAAGGAAACAAAAAACAAGAGGTTCTAACATATATTCCAAGACATTCCACTAGATGTCCTTGGCATCTCAAGATAGACTAAAGTTTCTTTCCTTCTGTTTCCTTGGCAGGCGAACATAGCAACCCTAAAAATCCATCTGTCTTCCACTAGATGTCCTGAGAGTCTTTGCAAGATTCCTTCATACTGTCGAGAATCAGCCTATTCACAGGGAAAGAAAGAAGGGACACCCACTCTTCATCCTAATCTGGCTGGTGACAGCACCCAAAACCAGCTCAGGACCTTGAATTGTACTCCTGTAATGTGGTGACCATGTGTTCTTGAGGAGAAAGCCACCCAGGATGCTCTACTCTTTCCTTAGAGCTGAGATCAGATCTCTAACAAGCTTTGCATTCCTTCTTTTCGCTGTCCAAATTGAACTGGAAAGTGAAAGTCCTTCTCACTAAGCTGCGTTGGCACATCTAGTCTCCTCCCTAAATGTTGTAAAGCTAGGCACCATCATCTGTTCCCCCACCAAATTCTTGAACACAGCTGTAGCGAGAACGCTGAAGCCTCTACCAACTCAGGCCTCCAGGACTGCTCACTCTTCTTCAGTTGCTGCCACCAATTTTATCCAGTATTTAGAAAAGACAATTGTTGTTTCAAAACAAAATCTTGTTTATTGGTTTAACAAAATTAAGTAAATCACAAGATGTTAATCAAGGTCTCTCACTCACTGACACACACAGACTCTTCCCTCACTGACTATTTGGCTCACAGGCCCATAGACACACTCGTCACTAACTCTCTCCAAATCTCTCTCCCTCACTCTCCTACATCATACCCCTTTTATATATTCCAGCTCCTCCCCCTTCTGCATCACCTTCCGTCCCCTCATTGGCTGATGTTCCACTGCTCAGCTGTGACGGACAGGTGAGAGCAGGGCTGAATGATACAACAGCTTTCTCCTTTGTGCATGGGGCCAGGAGGGGGGGGTCTGAAGATAAATAGAGCAAAATTGCTCCCAGGTCTATTATAGTTCCAGTTCCAGTTGGAAAGTTAATGCAAAGTTTAAAAGGTTTATTCAAAGCACCTCTCCCTCCTCTCCTGGCTAAGTTCTTACTTAGCAGCTCAAAGCAATCTCTCCTTTGTTATTTCGATCACTTAGTTCCTCCAGGCATAAGGTTCCTGGCCGTCTGGCCTCCTGATTGTTAGGCACTCCCGCTTATAGCTGCTTGTTTCCCTTTCTGGTACAGAACTGTGGAAGCATACCAAAGATAATGAAGTGGATCTTTGTTCTACTATTTCCAAGTCAAATAAATCTCTCACTGAATATACATCTGGGGCATTGAGTTTTATCAGTTACTCACTTCCACTCCGGAGAGCTTGAACCATCCGAGCTGGAGTCTCTGAGACCGTTACGCAGAGCCACACAGCTAGATCGCCGTAGGGAAAATGGTGCTGGCAGGACCTTCTGTCTGAGGAAGAGATTCCTCAAGGAAGGAGAGTTGCTCGCTACTCCTTCCTCGGTTCTCTCAGCACCTCTACAACTTGGGGGGGACTTCTCCTAGCCCCTCTGCCCCAAATAGATTTGGGGAGGTCGCGATCCCATGGCAGCAACAGGTCTTCTGGGAGCCCCAGATTCCTGCTGTAACGCTGCTTCTGGCTCCGCCCCCTCTCCCAAAGAATGGTACTTTTTAAAGCTTCATACAGCAATGCTGACTTTAATCACAAATTGAACTGAAGTTAAAAAATACCTTACATTGCTTAGATTTACCTCAACATATTTTCACCTTGCTTAGTAGTAGATCCAGTATTTGCCTAGCAGTGGTTACATTTAACTGAGTCATGTAATGCTGCAGTGTTCTGGTACTCTTCAGACAAACTCATGATAAAGCAGAAATTGGGATATGGTGTTAGCCATGGCTCCTCTTCTTTCTTCAGCAGTCTGATAATTTTTTCCTGTTCCCCATAGCTCCCTGGTTCCTTGTTTGTGCCATGATCTTCCAATATTTGTCCCAGACTGCCAGTTCTCTTCAGACGCGGGAGATACTTCAGTCCCATATAGAAAATTTGCTGAACAGAACTTACTTCAAGTGGAAGAGCAGAACATGTGGCAACTCAAAAGAAGATGGCCCTTCTGTAGAGGAGATTCCTTGGGATAGTATCCTGGCACTCTGCATTAACCATAAGCTGAGAGACTGGAAACCACCTTGCCTGCCAGTAATACCAGGTAAAACCATCTGCTTGGGCTGTTTTCTTAGGTTTATCTTCTTTCTGTCTTTAATATGTATTACCTTTGTCTCTACCAACATTGGGAGAGGATCGTGCTTTGTTCTTTTGGTGTCACTCTTTGATCTGTACTGTATATTTACTGAGTATCTCTTGAACAAGTAGGAAAGGCGTGGCTGGCTTTCATGATTTAAAGGAAGAGACGAGTATGAATGGAAATATTAGAGGCAAATGGTTCAGGTTTTTTCAGTGTAAGCAATTTATTTATTATTATTTATTGCCATGTTTCTCCAAAAATAAGATAGGGTCTTATATTAATTTTTGCTACAAAACACATTAGGGCTTATTTTCAGGGGATGTTTGTGAATTTCGTTGTATGGGTATACTGTATACTTACAATGACAATAAATTATTATTATTATTTAATGTACAACAATCTACATTTATTCAAATACAGTCATATCATCTTCTGGTTGCTGCACAATGGTGGAGGACGCAGTTTCACTCAACTAGGGCGTATTTTTGGGGTAGGATTTGTATTACGAGCATCCCGAAAATCATACTAGGGCTTATTTTCAGGTTAGGTCTTATTTTCGGGGAAACAGAGTATTTATTTGTTTGATTACTGTCTCACCTCAAAAAAACTGAATCCAAAGTAGTTTGCAATAAAATGAATATAACAAATGGACTTTGAAATAGTAATGGTAGTAATCTGTCTCATCCCTTGCCATTTGATAGTTTGATTGCACAGGTCATTAAAAACCTGAATCGGTGCTCCATATATCTTCAAAGACCCAGGTTTATCTCTTAAAGCAGGAATTTTTTTTGGCATTGCAGGAATCCACATCCTGAAAGACATTCTGTTTAAAAACTTCGAACAAAGAAGGCTCTTAACACTTTTCAAGGCAGTCTTAATTTTTAAAAAGTTATTAAAACAAGATAAACAAGCCTTATGAATAAAAATATAAACTAAAACACAATCGTAACTCACAATATACAGTGTACATCACCACCCTCAGGATTATTTATTTATTTATAATTGCATTGCATGCCCCATCTCTCTCCAGAAATATGATGATGCTTATGTTGGGATATATAACCTCCCCCCCCAAAAAAACACATGTACTAAGAAATCATTCCACATCACCTTAAAATAATTTGTTTTCAATATTCCTTTTCTAACTTCCAATTCACATGTTAGTTTATTGATAGCCATTATTCCACATTTCTTTGTACCAGTCCTCCATATTAAACTGATTATTATGTTTCCAATTTTTGGACACCTTTGTATTTAGATATCCATAATTTTCTTTTTCTCTCTGAAAATCGTTGTCTCTTCTGTCTGATTTCACATGTACACCACATATGTAAATATGTTCCCTTTTCTTTCTTACATCTTCAATGTGATAATTCATTGCGCTCAGTTTCATTGGAGGCAAATGCCATCTCCATAATATTTTGTAACAATTTTCCTTAACCCTTACAGGCATATTCTTCATTGTTACTTAATTCCACATCTTCTTCCATTCATCTCTACTAATTTCTTTATTTATATCTCCTCTCCACACCTCTTTAAGAGCTGGTGTTTTGTATTCATCCTCTATCTTATATATTACACTTATCCCTTTTGTATTTTTATTACTGTCCATCTTCTTTCTCCTTTTCAATAACAAATTTAGTCATCACTCTGCACTCTTCTTTTCCATTCCTTAGTCCAATTTTCTAACAGCATTATCGTAAGATTCTTTCATGTCCTCCCTGTTGTACATCATCTTTATTCGACCTTTTATTTTCTATCTCACTGTTCTATCAAAATTTTATTCAACTTTCTCTTAAAGTTTTCTGTAAAATTTCTTAATTTCACCACATGACTCAATGGAGAAATTTTCAGACTCAGTATTTTCCTATACTTCTTCTAACTTTGCATCATATTACTTAAAAATAGGTCATCTATTTTTTTAACTATATGTTTTATATTTTCCATTAAAACTATTCTCTATACTCTCCTTGTACTTGTGAAACTCCAAGTCACTCCATATTACCCATTTTCTATAATCTCTGGAATGTGCCTCGATTGTTTTGCTATATAGTATAATTTAATGCTTGGTATATCCAAACCTTCTCTTTGCAGTATATACCATACAATTTTGTTTGTCCTTCCTCTTTTATTTCTGTTACAAAATATATTAATTCTCCATTCCCTTTATTTCCTTATCTTCTCTAATTACATTTGCTAATAATTCCATTATCAATGCAAATAAGACTGGAGATAGGGAGCATCCTTGTCTTGTTCCTCAGCCTAGGGTATTATCTCAATTTCACCATTATTTGCTAAAATAGTTGCTGTGTTCTATTAATATAGTTGCTGAGTAATGTGTGTAAAACACATACTAAATTCTAATGTTTTAATTAATTAATGCTGACCATATCTTAAAGCATTCATCAATTCCTGTTTTTTGAGGTAGTTCCAAAAACGGACCAACACATCTCTTGGCACTCCTTTTGAGCCTCTTCTTCTCCCCCATCAATGGCATCTTTCAGTATCCCACTTGGACGTTTCCATCTTGGGCATTACGAATTTTACCCATTCTAAAATGGCTCGTGTTAATTCCTTTTCCTCCACCCTTTTTTCTGGTACAGTGGGGTCTCTACTTAAGAACTTAATCCGTATTGGAAGGTGGTTCTCAAGTGGAAAAGTTCTTATGTAGAATCTGCATTTCCCATAGGGATGCATTGAAAACCATTTAATCCGTATCTGCTCTTTTCCGTCCATAGAAACTAATGGGAAGCTGCTATTCCGCCTTCTACCACTAGAGGGGGATTTTTTCTTTTTTTTCCCTTAGGTCAGGGAACAGTGTTAAAAGCACTTCTGACGAAGCTAATTTTGAAGCAATGGACTAAAAACCAATTAATCCGTTCTGGCTGTTTTTTTTTATGTAGAGGGGCGTTCGTACATTGAAGCTGGTTAATACGTACTCTACCGCTAGGGGGAGAACTTTTTTTTAACCTAAGATGACCTAAGGTTAAAAAAAGAGCAGGAAAGTTTTTTTTCCTGTTCTTATCTGGATTTTTGTTCTCAAGTAGAAGCAAAATGTAGCAAATGGAGCTGTTCTTAAGTGGAATTGTTCTTAAGTAGGGACGTTCTTAAGTAGAGACCCCACTGTATTCCTCTCAACTGGAGATTTGATTGTGCATGTCCTTCTGCTGAATAGTCTGAATTTGTAATACGTTAGATTTTTTCCTGGTTCACAAACTCTCACAGTATTCATCTATACTCGATTTTGCACTACTTCAGTCTTACATGGAATATTGCATACAGTTCTGATTGCCGCACCTCAAAAAAGACATAATGGAACTGGAAAAAGTGCATTAAAATGATTAAAATGAGTGATTTAATCACTCATTAGAGTGATTAAAATGATGTCTTGGCTGGGGCACCTCCCTTAAAGGCTACAGCATTTAGAGCACCTGAGGCACCTGAGGGGGGACATGATTGAGACGTATAAAATTATGCAGGGGATAGATAGAGGAAAGCTCTTTTCCATCTCACACAATACTAGAACCAGGGGATATCCACTCCAATTGAGTATTGGGAGATTGAGAACAGACAAAAGAAGATATTTCTTTACCCAGCATGTTGTTAGTCTGTGGAACTCCTTGCTACAGGAAGTGGTGATGGCATCTGACCTAGATGCCTTTAAAAGCGGATTGGACAGATTCCTGTAGGAAAAGTCCATTGCAAGTTACAAGCCATGATAAGGATGTATAATCTCCAGGCTTAAAAGGAAGGTACCTCCAAATGCCAGATGCAGGGGAGGAATATCAGGAGACAAGTATCTAGTTGTCTCATGTGCTCCCAGGGGCATCTGGTGGGGCCACCATCTAGTCCAGCTGGACTAGATGGCCCCTTGGCCTGATCCAGCAGGGCTCTTATTATTTATTATTTATTTATTTACTTATGTTCTTAATATCTACTGTATCTCTTTTAACTGTTTTAAATGTTACGTTGCCCTTTTTGTTGTCAGCAATTCAGTATAGAGTATTATTAACAAAGGAAAAATGTGTTTTACATTGTTGATAAAGTCGGCTGTACTGTCACATGCTGTGTAGAAATATTTTTAAGACAATACTAATAATTTAATATTCTGTTTTAGGCCTTTTTTTCTACTCTAGCTAAATTAAATTATTTGCCTAATTTCTTTGATTTCCATCTGTTTGATTAGGTAATTGAATAATTGTGTATTTGCACAAATATTCCTTTTACAGAAATAAAAAAAATTAGTTCTTAAAACTAGTGTCTGAAAAAAGATGCAAATATCTGTGATTCTATACTGCAAATTAGATCTAGAAATACCTGTATATGTACTGAACACATGGACTGAAATTAAGAAAGAACACCATTAATCCCACAAGAGATTTGTGTGTTTTTTCCTCAGCTACTCATTTAGTTTTTTTCATTCTGTAAATAACTTGATGCATCGTTGCTGCTTTCCACCATAATTCATGATGAAGCTGGAAAATCCATTCTACTGCAGATTTGACTAGGGAGGGGTGTTTTTGCATCTTACAGAAGCAGTGAACAAAGATGGCCAGATACATGTATATTTCATTCAGGAGCACTTGAAAAAATTTACCTGTCCTTTCTTATGGGAAGAAGCCAGATTAAAAACTCAAAAAGCAGTCCAACAAAATCAAGGAAGGTGAGATTTCTCTTATGAAAATGTATATTGTACAGATTTATGTCATATAAATATGTATATTTTTCTGGTTGAGGCTTTTTGGTAAAAAGGCTTTCTAGGAATTTCTTTATTCCTTTAGTTAGCAAAGAATAAAGCAAAGCGAAACAACAACACAGAAATGTGGAGAGATCAGTCCAATCTCACCAAAACATCCTCCGTGGTTTGTAAATAAAACTTTGTATGGTAAAAATCACTCTAGAAGTTGTTAAAGTTTTTTTAAGCACCTTTACTTACACTTACCTTCTGTAATTACAATCAGAAGTAAAAAGGAGAAAGAATTAGAGTCTCCAGCTTGCAGGAACCCGTGCCTGCTTGCTTTTTGCAGGATGGTCAAAGTAAGAAAAGATCTATCAACAAAATAATGGAAGCCAAAAACATGCTAGAAGTAGAAAAAAACTTTATCAATAAGTTGGTGACAAAGGACAATCATCTTAGGCTGTAACACATCCACTCACTGATTCTCAGTGTTAGTGCATGCAAGATTGCTATTATCCCAACATTTCTAACAGAAATAAAAAAATAAAAGAAAAATAAAATTACAAATGAGGGTCTATGTAAGGAAGTTTAAAATGATGCTCATTGAAGCATAAAACTGAGGAGTATAAAGACAAGTGTGCCGTGCCTGCAGTCAAGCATGGTGGTGGGAGTGTCATGGTCTGGTGCTGCATGAGTGCTGCTGGCACTGGGGAGCTACAGTTCATTGAGGGAACCATGAATGCCGACATGTACTGTGACATACTGAAGCAGAGCATAATCCCCTCCCTTCAGAGACTGGGCCGCAGGGCAATAGTTCCAACATGATAACGACCTCAAACACACCTCCAAAACGACCACTGCCTTGCTAACGAAGCTGAGGGTAAAGGTGATGGACTGGCCAAGCATGTCTACAGACTTAAACCCTATTGAGCATCTGTGGGGCATCCTGAAACGGAAGGTGGAGATGCACAAGGTCTCTAACATCCACCAGCTCTTTGATGTCGTCATTGAGGAGTGGAAGAGGACTCCAGTGGCAACCTGTGAAGCTCTGATGAATTCTATGCCCAAGAAGGTTAAGGCAGTGCTGGCAAATAATGGTGGCCACACAAAATATTGACACTGTGTCCAATTTGGACATTGTCACTTAGGAGTGTACTCACTTTTGTTGCCAGTAGTTTAGGTATACTAAAATATTTATGAGGATATACTAAAATATTTATGAAATGTGAGGGGGTGTACTCACTTCTGTGATATACTGTAAATATCAATGAGAAATATTTAAGGACATACAGTAGATGAACTGGTTCATTGAGCATGTTAATTTAATATGCAGATGCAAGCAAAACAACAAATTATCTATTCATAAAGAAGAAAAAATAAAATTACCAGTAGAAAAAGTGTTATGAAGTAACTACATGGAATGAGGAATATAGTTTTGATTACTGCTGCTGAACTAAAAAAGGCAATTTAAATGAACAGATATTTTAATAAGAAGATACAAGTGGTGCCTCGCTAAACGATTGCCTCATTTAGCGATGTTTTCACTTAACGATGTTTTTTTAAAGAATTCTATGCATCATTTAACGATGTTTCCTATGGGTGATTTTCGCTTAGCGATTTCGGGACCATGCTTCGCATAGCGAATGCATTTTTAGGTCCCCTGTTTCGCTTAACATTTTTTTCAATTTTAAGTGTCTTAAAATGTTCAAAAATGTTTTAAATGCTTGGAATCGTTAGTGCATCTTCTAAAATGTGTGCAAATTTAATTTGGCTTTGATCTGACTTTTCGTTAATTTTTGGTGAATTTTTTTCTCCCCCATAGGAAACAATGGAGCTGTCAAAAGTTGGGCTCCATTGTTTCCAATGGGGGAGAAAAAAATTCACAAAAAATTAACGAAGACTCAGAACGAAGCCCAACTAGGTTTGCACAGGTTTTGCAAGGTGCCCTAACGGATCCAAGCATTTAAAACAGTTTCTGAGTCTTCGTTAATTTATTGTAAATTTTTTTCTCCCCCATAGGAAACAACTGAGCTGTCAAAAGTTGGGCTCCATTGTTTCCAATGGGGGAGAAAAAAATTCACACAAAATTAACGAAGACTCAGAACAAAGCCAAACTAAGTTTGCACACGAATTAGAAGGTGCTCTAACGAACCCAAGCATTTAAAACAGTTGCTGACTTTTCGTTAATTTTTTGTGAATTTTGTCCTCCCCCATAGGAAACAATGGAGCCCAACTTTTGACAGCTCAGTTGTTTCCTATGGGGGAGAAAAAAATTTACAATAAATTAACGAAGACTCAGAAACTGTTTTAAATGCTTGGATCCGTTAGGGCACCTTGCAAAACCTGTGCAAACCTAGTTGGGCTTCGTTCTGAGTCTTCGTTAATTTTTTGTGAATTTTTTTCTCCCCCATAGGAAAGCATGGAGCTGTCAAATTATGACAGCTGTCAAAAGTTGGTGGGGGGAAAAATCAGCAAAAATGAACAAAAAGTCAGATCAAAGCCAAATTAAGTTTGCACACGTTTTAGAAGGTGCACTAACAATTCCAAGCATTTAAAACAGTTTTTGAACCTTTTAAGACACACTTAAATTTGCAAAAATGGACATCGCAAAACCATTGAAATGCATTGAATAGGCTTCAATGCATTCCAATGGAGGAAACATTGTATCACTTAACGATGTTTCCTATGGGTTTTTTCACTTAAGGACGGCAATCCGTGCCTATTGGAACGGATTAACCAGTTTTCAGTGCATCTCTATGGGAAAACGTGTTTTGCTTAACGATGTTTTCCCATAGCGATGTTTTTTTAACCAATTAACATCGTTAAGCGAGGCACCACTGTACAAGAAAAGTTAATAACCTTTGAGCTTTCTTGGTTTAGAAAAAAGATAGCTAATAGGAACAGGGAGAAGTAGAGATTTGTGTAATTACATATAGTGTTAACAGTTTTTTCTTCAGCTTTCATGTACACTAGAGTCAGTATGCAGTTGAATGTGTGTGATGCCAAAAGAGTGACAGAAGATGTAGGCACACATAATAAACCCTCCCCACACACATTCCCATGCATCCCATGGTATCACGGACATTTCCATAGTGATGATAAATGTTGACAGAAGGCTTAGAGATCACATGCATCTGATTATGTATCCCATGACTAGAAACCTGGTCTTACGGTTTTGTAGTAGCATTCAACCCCAAACTATTGCAAAGCCCTTGCAGACGTTCAAACATGTCCTTATGCGAGTGAGTGATATTGTTGTTGCTTTGACTTGTATACTGCCCCATAATGCTAGAGGACTCTCTGGGTGGTTTACAATTTAATTATGCAGGGTACGCTTCCCCCCCCCATGAGCTGGATATTTTACTGACCTCAGAAGGATGGAAGGTTGAGTCAACCTTGAGCCTACTACCTGTACCCATTGGGATCAAACTCAGGTCATGAGGAAAGGCTTGACTGCAGTATTGCAGTTTGAACATATGAAAGAAATATACTGTACTTCATACAAGATGTATTTGTTCACATCTAAACTAGCTAAATGTTTAAGGTAGTGTATCTCTAAATACCAGGTGTTGGACTAACTAATGGGGAAAAGCCTTCATGTCCTGATTATATGTTTCCTGGAATTAGGGTCTGGACCCCTAGGGCTGCTCTTACATTCTGCTTATTGCTGTAAGTGCATTGACAGTCAATTATTCTTGCAGAAAGTCTTTTTCCTTGTAATTTTGTATCTCTAGGTCCAAAACAAAGACTAACTCTTTTGGAAAGTTATATTCCTTTTCACTGTCTCCAAGTGAATATTGCACCTGCCAAGGAAATAAAAGAAATAAGGAAATAAATAGTTTTGCTGGTGAAGATCTAACAATGGCTGTTTCAGAAGTGGATCTTCTCCCCAAGTGCCTGTCTGCCAAACTGCAGCTGGAAAAAAAAGAAAGCAAGAGGTAAAGCTTTAGGTTTACCAAGACATTTTTTTGCTTCTATAGGAAACCAAGGGTTAAGCAGAACTACTTCATTACATCTTGGTTGCTGTACCGGTTCTGGGAATCAAGTGAAGAAAGATCCTGTTTCCTGCCTAAAAGGCACTAGCTTTGATAGATTCCCCTGTCCAGATTGTGCATCTGGAGAAACAGGAAACTCTGAACTTGAGTTCTTTGTTTCTCTTTTTCACAGGACCATGGTCCCAGATTGTCTGAGCATCTTCTTGGTGTTCTAGTACAAAACAAAAGGTCACTTCAAACTTGTCTTCTTTTCTCTGAACCTATTCTCTTAAGCTTCCCCAATTGTATGTAGTAAAACAGTTTGTGTAGAGTGTTTTTCCATTCCATTCTCCATTTTTTGGACTCCAGCTCCCAGAATTCTCCAAGAATTCCCCAGGCAGACTAGAAACACCTTCAGACACTATTGGAGATAGGCACGAACCTTGTTTCAGAGGTTTGTGCCAGTTCATGTGCACAGCACCAGAGGTGTTGCATGTTCCTTTCTCCCACTTCCTCAGCTAATTACCGACTCAGTGGTTGGAGTGCACTTCTCTCCTCCTTTTTGGCTGTTCAATCAGTCCCCAACCGGAGCACAGGTTTGCCTATCTTGCCTCTTTATCTCAGTGGGCCATCATCCAAGGAGGTGGGGGCAGGGAAGGCTGTGCTCCTGCTGAAGAGGAGGAAGAGAGGAGTGCACACTAGCTGATGAGTGGGGGATCCAGCCAGGGAAAAGAGGGAAGGGAACGCACAGCATCTAAATTCATGCTCATCTCTAGACACTATTTTGCTCACCTGGCTTCGAGGTTCCATGCCTGCCTCAGGCCTACTTTACGTTATTAATGTAAAAAAGTGAAAGTTGCCACAGTGCTTTCTGGGCACCTTTAAGAAGTGTCCTGTGTAGACTACAACTACACAGAGACTACAACTCCCAGAAAGCACTGTGGTATCTTCCTGTTTGTTTAAGATGTTTTTACCCCACCTTTTTCCTTAAAAAGGACCCAAGGTGGCTTACATAATTGAAAGACAATATTTAAAGCTAAAAACAACGAGTATATAAAAAGGTGGCTTACATCATTAAAAGACAACAATTAAAACTACAAATAATAAAGATACAAATATTAAAAGGAATAAACAAATACCACTCAGAAATGCAAGCAATACTAAAAACACATTCAAAGCAATAATGTATAACAGTCCATCTAAAGATCACACACAGGTTACTGAGGGAAAGCTTACCTGAAGAGAAAGATCTTTGCTTGTGGAAGGACAACAGAGATGGGGTCAGTTTGGTCTCCTGTGGGTGGGAGCTCCAAAGTCTGGGAGCAGCAACACACCTGTATCCTCATTAAACATACCTGTGAAGGTGATATGCCCAAGAGAAAGGCCTCTCCTGATTATCTTAATTCCTGAGCAGGCCCATAATGGGAGACATAGGCTTTGAAATATCTTGGCCCAAGCCATTTAGGGCTTTTATAAGTCAGCCAGCACTTTGAATTTAACCCGGAAATAGATTAGCAGCTAGTGGAACAGCTGTAACAGAATGGTTATGTGGACCCATCAGCAAGCTGCCTTTTTTTTTGTAAACAACAGACCTAAGACAGATGCAGAGGCTCCAAGACAGGTCCTGCTACATGTGAAAGAAATATTGGTTTCTGTATGTGTGAGTATGGGGGCTAAAACTCCCAAAATTTTGCCTGGAGAAATCTTGGAGAATTCTAGGGGTTAGCATCTAAAAAAATCCAAAGGGCAAATTCCTAGTTGTGCATGAAAGTAGAACCTCGAATACAGATGCCTTCGTTCATCTGTGCTGTAGATATCTCTGCAGGATTCAGAAAAGAAGCTTAGAAGTTTCCTAGAGATTAAAATGGCATGCTAAACTATGAGCAGAAAGAACAAAGGAAAAATGTATTCACATCATAAATTATAAAGTAGATACTTTTTCTTTCCCCTTGTTTTGTTTAGATTTGAAGAGCAGCTGCAACATTTGTTAGCTGAAGATTCCGAGATACTTCAGGATTATCCATCTCTTCCTCTTTACCTTCCTGAAACTCTGGTGTCTGGGCCTCAGATTATTTGCCCACTGACCAAAGCACCGGTGTCAAGAAGCCCAGAGGTAAAACCTGAAAGGAATAGTACAGGATTCTCAAAGAAAGATAGAGAAGGATGTCCTGTGATGGTGTCACTATACATCATGAGTGCTAAACTGGTTAATGCTCAAAGGAGGAGACCTCTACTGAATTGCTATATCAGTATTGGGCTCCTAAAGCATCCCTCTCATCAACACAGAAAAATAGGAAATTGCTAATGAAATCAAGGTTGCATTTAAAAGAAAAAATTCAGTTTCAGTTGCATACATGCATATTTCAATCACAAAAAAATAAGTTTCTAGCTACTAAAAATAATAGCTGAAAACCATATGTTATTCCGTGTGAGGCTAATGATGTCATCAGCTCTGGCAGTCTTTTTTGGAAATAAAACAATTCCAGTTTCTCTCTCAAAGGTTCCAAGGCTCCCACAGAATACCTTTCATCATCAGGAAGCTGTTGGAGGCTGTGAGACAGGGAGGAGCAGAAGTCTTTAATGGCTGGAAATCTTTTCCACCATGAGAGCCTTGGGACTTTCGGGGGAGAAATAGGAAATTTGCTTTCTGAAAAATGTTGTAGCCTTACATGGTATAATAACTTACAGCAACATGATTTCAGCCACTCTGGAATAACTGGTCATGGACCTAACCTAAAGGAAAGTGACCAGGGCTTAATTATACTTAGTGCCCAACACCTATCATAAGACATCAGTGTTCTTGAACCAGTTGAAAACAATTATCGTGGTGTTGTGAACATCTGTGAACAATGCAGAGATAAAATCCACACAATAGCTGTTCAACCAGAAAAGAGGCAAGGGAATCCTTTGATCTCAAAGTATCACAGGATCATAGAACAGTGGAGTTGGAAAGGGCCTGTAAATCCAAATTAAAGTTTATGGCTTTCTCTTTAATGCATCCAATCTTGGAGTACTCAGTACCTCCCAAGATAATTGGCTCCATTGTCATACTGTTAGGACATTTTCCATGATACGCAGCTGAAATCTGGCTTCCTGTAACTTGAGCCCCTTATTAATATTCTGTACTCTGGAATGATTAAGAATAGATCCTGCCTCTTCTCTGTATGACAACTTTTCAAGTATTTGAATGGAGTAATTGTATTTTCCCTCAGTTACCTTTTCAGTCTTTCCTCATAGGGCTTAGTTTCCAGTTCATCCAGTTCATCCTTTTTGCCTTTCTCTAAACCTGTTCCAATTTATTTGCATCTTTCTTAACAGTGTGGTATCCAGAATTGGACACAGTGTTCAACATGAGGCCTAACCTGTGTCAGATATAGGGGAACTACTACTTCAAGGGATTTGGAGACTATCCTTATGTTAATACAACTTAAAATATCATTTGTTTTTTTTTTCTTTTGCAACTACATTCTAGATCAGCTACAGTGAAATCTACAACAATTTCAAGTTCCTTTTCACATGCAGTATTACTGCCTATCACTATGTAACTGTCTATCACTGATCGCCTTTAAATTATATTCTCTTATTTTCAGCCAGGTGCTCAAAACTATCAAAATCAACTTGAATTTTGTTTCTATCTTCAGAGTATCAGCTATTCCACCCAATTTTGCATCATCTGCAAATTTAATAAGATTCCTTGCACTCTCTTATTCAAACCATTCATAAAAATAATGAAGATCATCAGGACCATGACTGAGTCTTGGGGTACCCAAGTTGTTACTTTTTCCCAGTTTGAGAAGGAGCCATTGATATACATAGTCTGAGTACAATTCTGTAACCAACTATCAAACGATCTGACAGTTTTGCTATCGAACCCGCAACTAGTTAGCTTGCTAATCTGAATATCATGGGGCACTTTGTCAAAAGATTCATATCAGGGAGGTTTACCTGATCAAAACATTAGATCAGATTAATTTGGCAGGATTTGTTCTTGACAAATCCATCTTGGCTTCTAGTTATCACTGAATTATTTTCAACGTGGTTGCGAACTGACTGCTTTATAATCTGCTCCAGAATTTTCTTGAAGATTGATGTCAGGCTGACTGGTCTGTAGTCCCCTTTTTCCCTTTTTGGAGATAGGGACAATATTAGCCCTCCTCCAATCATCGGGCATTTCATCCATCCTCTATAATTTCAAGAAAATAAGAGATTCATGAGGCCCTGGAGATTTGAATTAATCCAAAGTAATTAGGTATTCTTTTGTCTATTTGTCTTGTAATCTCACTTGTACTTGACATTTGCTAGTAGCATCATAGACTCCCTTTTTGAAGAAAACTGACCTGAAGTACTTACACCTTTTCTGTCTGTTATCATTTTGCCATAGGCATTGAACAGCTGATTGATTGATTGATTTGTCTTTTGCTACGCCTGTACCTGAGGAATGCTTTTTCTGGCTTTTATCTTGCTAACCTCAAGTGCTTCTCAGCTTTTGCCTTCCTAATGCCATCCCTGCAATTCTTTTCTACCTTTGCTACTCTTCCTTTATGACCTAGCCTTCCTTCTACTTCCTATATGTACCTTTTTTGTTGTTGTTTTACGGTCCTTTCTGCACTTTTTGTGATTGTTTTTTTTTGGGGCATCCATATTTTTTTCTTGGAGTTGTTTGTAGTTCTGTCTTTAGAGTTTCTTTTTAAGAATCTTCCACCCATCTTCAGCTCCTTTTCCTATTATGATCTCTTGCTGTACAACCTTACTTATTGTTCTGAGTTTATTATAATTGGCTTTCCTTAAATCCTTAAATGTGGCTACATTCAGCTTTTGCTTCCTTTGAAATCAAGTACTTAAGTATAAACATGGTCATTTTTCCTAGAGTTACCCTTACTGCAACCTCAATGACTAAGTTATCCCTATTGGTTAGAATTGAGGATAGCTAATCCTGTAATTTCTTAAATTACCAGCAACACAAACCAGGAATTTCTTGGAAGCACCATTTTAGAAAGAATGTGCTTCCTGGCTGAAGTCTTCCATTACAACTTCACAGTGTATCTTTGTAGTACCTGATGTTTGTTTTTCAAAGGTTTCATCCACATCTTCTCCTTGATTGTGCAGTTGATAAGGTAAAGTTTGTAAAGGTTCCCCTTGACATTTAGTGTCTGACTCATCCCCGTTTCCAAGCTATAGAGCCTGCGTTTGTCCAAAGACAGTTTCTGTAGTCACATGGCCAGCACAGCCAGACACGGAACACCGCTAGCTTTCCACCAAGGTGGTACCTATTTATCTACTCGCATTTTTACATGCTTTCGATGTACTAGATGGGCAGGAGCTGGGAGAAGTGATGGGAGCTCACTCGATCACGTAGATTCAATCTTACGACTGCTGGTCTTCTGACCTTGCAGCACAGAGGCTTCTGCGATTTAACCTGCAGTACTGCCACCACGTCCCTGTGCAATTGGTAGTAGATTGTAATTGCCATGTTCCTTTTATTTATTGCCTCCCATTATGATCTCGAAGTGACAGCTAAGCTCATCCTCCTGTATTTCTGTGTAGGACTATGTATTTTCGACATAGAGTATGACTCTACCATTTTTCTAGTAGTTATGGTCTTTTTTGGACAATTTATATCCTTCAATTGCTGCGTTCCAGTCATAAGAATCATCACACCAAATATCAGTGAACCCTCTGAAGGTGTCTTTCCCTTCCTGAATTAAGATGTCCAGTTGTTTTTGCTTATTTCCCATACCTTTGGCATTAGTAAAGAGCAATTGGACATCATTTGATTTGTTACATGATTTCCTTCCTATTTTTGTTAAGACTAATATTGGATTCTGTTAGAGCAGCTTTTATTGTGTATAAACTTTCATCTGACTTTACCTCCAAGTTTGTGTCTCCTTCCCTTTTTCAACTCAGTTTAAAGCCCTCCTGTTTAAATTCTTCACGTTGCAACCATACTTTCCAATTCTTGTGAGGTTGTTGATATTTCTTCCAGCAATCTTAATTCCATTTTGGGATTCCTCCAGTCCAGCCTTTTGCATGATGTATTCTGCATGTAAGTTAAATAAGCAGGGAGACAATATACAGCCTTGTCGTATTCCTTTCCCAATTTTGAACCAATCATTTGCTCCATATCCAGTTCTGACTGTTGCTTCCTGTCCCACATACAGATTTCTCAGGAGATAGATAAGGTGGTCAGGCACTCCCATTTCTTTAAGAACTTGCCATAGTTTGTTGTGGTTGACACAAAGGCTTTCGTGTAGTCAATAAAGCCTAAGTATATGTTTTTCTGGAATTCTCTGGCTTTCTGCATAATCCAGCGCATGTTAGCAATTTGGTCTCTAGTTCCTCTGCCCCTTCGAAATCCAGCTTGTACTTCTGGGAGTTCTCAGTCCATATACTGCTGAAGCCTACCTTGGAAGATATTGAGCATAACCTTGCTAGCGTGTGAAATGAGTGCAAGTGTATGGTAGTTGGAGCATTCTTTTGGCACTGCCCTTCTTTGGGATTGGGATGTAGACTGATCTTTTCCAATCCTCTGACCACTGCCGAGTTTTCCATACTTGCTGCCATATTGAGTGTAGCACCTTAACAGACTCATCTTTTAAGATTTTAAATACAGTGGTGCCTCGCAAGACGAACGCTTCGTTTAACGACGAAATCGCAAATGCAATCGCAAAATGATGTTTCCTATAGGGTTTTTTCGCTTTGTGATGATCGGTTCCCTGCCTCACTAACCGATGACGATTTTCGCACAGCTGATCGGCAGTTTCAGAATGGCCGCCAGGTAAAAAAAATGGCCGCCTGCTGTTTTCTGGGATGGATTCCTCACTGCACGGGCAGTGAAAATGGCCCCGCTATGGAGGATCTTCGCTGGATGGTGAGTTTCAAGCCCATAGGAATGCATTAATTGGGTTTTAATGCGTTTCTATGGGCTTTTTAAAATCGCTTTACGATGTTTTTGTTCTACAGCGATTTTGCTGGAACGAATTAACATCGTAATGCGAGGCACCACTGTAGTTCAACTGGAATGCCATCACCTCCACTGGTTCTTAGCCATGCTTTCTAAGGCCCACTTAACTTCACTCTCCAGGATGTTTGGCTCTAGGTCAGCCACCACACTAC